AAAGAGATTTTATTTATTTATTTGACAGAGAGAGACATAGCGAGAGAGGGAACACAAGCATGGGGAGTGGGAGAGGGAGAAGCAGGCTTCCTGCTGAGCAGGGAGCCTGATGTGGGGCAGATCATGACCTGAGCCAAAGGCAGACACTTAACAGAGCCACTGAGGTGCTCTTCAAGTGACTTCCTTTACCCAAGGGACTCTTCACTTAGCTACTGTTGGGTTATAGGTTGGGTTCTCTGGTTCTAATGGTATGTATCTCTAATCACATGTGCATGAACACCTCTACGCTCTATATAATACATATCTTATAATGGCTATCAAATGTTTGACATCATCTCTCAGTGGAAAGGAAGAATACAATTCTTTTACTGGAAAGTGGATAATGCTGTTCTAATTAGACACATTTGAAGTTCTCTAAATCACCTTCTGATTGCATCTCATTCTCATGTCACCCATGGACTAATATTTTATGTAGCCTGAAAACGCTTACCCCAAGGCCCTCAAAGTGTCTGCAATTCATTTCCACCTAGTTATCAAGAGCATTTTTTATAAGATACTGAGAAATTCACTGAGTTCCATCTTGATTCCCAACTACCCAACTCTGTTCTTATTTTTTCTTCTCATCTTCTTAAGGCTACATGATTCCAATGGAAAATCTCTTTCTGAAACACATTTATAAGTACTAACACACATACACTTTTAAGTGTAAAATCATATTACAATATTACTACTACTAATAATAACAACAAAGTTTTTGCAACATATGGGCCACAAATCAAGAACCTAATGGTAAATTTACTCATCGATCTGTAAGTAGAGATATGGGAACAATATGTAAAAGCTAAATCGTATTTTAAAGTGTATCTTTCATATGTAGATCACTCAGGTAAGCATTTGCATAAAAACTTATTCGGATCTTCATGCTATCGCTTTAATAATATTTGAAGAGGTAATTGATCAAATCTTGGGAAATAAAAATATATACTAGAGACATAAGCAAAATAAAATATATACTAGAGACATTTCCATTACAGGTATATTTTTAGGGAAATAGTAAAAGGCTGATAAAATACTTGGGGAGAAGGAAGGGTGCAATGCAGTATGGGGGCAAGATTATGTTCTTAGACTCTGTCTTGATTGCTTGCTCTTTTCATTATTCACCCCAGAGATTTTCAAAGTGTGGTTCAGGGACCTGTGTGGGCCTCGGAGAGCACTTCAGATATGCCAGGTAAAAACTATGTTCATAAGAACAGTGATACTTTTTTACCTATTTGTCTCTCATTCTTTCATGAATTTATAGTGTTTTCAGAAGCCACATGACAAATGATACTGCATGAGATTGAAAATAAAAGCAGTATGAGAATCAAGCTGTCTTTTATTAAGCCAGACTTTGAAGAAATTTACAACACTAAATTTTCTCTTCTTACTAATATTTTTTGGGGGGTAGGGAGTTAGAATGTAAAGCCACTTTTTTTTTAATTTATTTTTTACATTTCTTTTTGGTGTTCCAGAATTCTTTGTTTATGCACCACACCCAGTGTAACGCTACTTTTCATAAAATGATGTTATTTAGCATGTAATAGATTTACTTTGTTATTTTAATAGAACAAGTAAATAAAAAGTTTTCAAATGATTTGTCTGCTTTTAATTTTGTCTGTTTTAATTCTAGCATGCTAAACATCAATATATATTACCCAAATTTAAAAAAAGGTATTGGGGGTCCACAATAATTTTTAAAAGTGTTAAAGTGGGTTCTGAGACTAAATACTTTCAGAACCTCTGATTTATACTTTACACTGGTGATTTCATTCAAACTCCTATGTTATGAGTTGAATTGTCTAATTAGTTAGGGCAAGGTCATATTGGACTAGGTTGGATCCCTAATCCAATATGACTGGTGTCCTAATAAAAAGAATACCATGTGAAGAGACACACACACATACAAGGATAATGGCACATGAAGACTGAAGTTATACTGCTGCAAAACAAGGAACTACCAGAGGCTAGGAGAGAGGCTGGAACAAATTCTTCCTTAGCATCTTCAGAAAGAGCATGGCCCTTCCTATACCTTGATTTCATACTTTTTTCTAGAACTCTGAAACAAATTTCTATTGTTCTAAGCTACCTAGTTTATGGTACTTGTTACAGAAGCCCTGGCAAACAAATATACCCTAACTTTAATCATCAAAAGCCTATGATTCTCAAGTCTGTCTGCCTAGTCCAAACCTCTTTCCAGTTTCATATGCATATGATATACAGTGGCTACTTAGACATTTCCTATCTTTCCAAAAGGTCTGAAAATGAAACATATTCAAAATGACACTAGTCATTGTAACCTTCCTGATGAAATCTGCTCTATTCCTGAATTTTTTCTTTATGAAGGTTCCCACCTTCTTTAATGCCTCAATTCCCACAGTCAGTCAGTTCTACCATTTAATACCCCTCTGGTAATGGTTAATTTTATGTGTTAACTTGGCTGGGCCACAGTGCTAGATATTTATTCAAACATTATTCTGGATGTTTCTGTGAAGTGTTTTTGGATGAGATTTACATTTAAATCAGTGGATTTTGAGTAAAGTGGATGGCTGTGTGTAATGTGTGTAGACCTCATCCAATCAGTTGAAGACAAATAGATCAAAAGACTGACCTCCCCTGAGTGAGAAGGAATTCTAAAAGCCAGCTGCCTTCAGACTTGAACTACAATACCAGCTCTTCCCTGGGTCCATCCTGACACCCTACTCTGCAGGTTTTGGATTTGCTTCCATAATCACACGAGCCAATTCCTTTAAATAAATCTGTCTCTGTATTATCCACATCCTATAGAACTCCATATACATCTTATTGATAACTTCTCTAAACTCACTACCACTGCATAAATTCAAACCACCATCATCTCTTGTCAGGACTATGATAATAATTTTATAACTTCTATTATCACGGGCCCTTCTCTTTTCTATCCATTCTCTATGCATCTGTCAAAATAATCTTTCTAAGAAATCTATGTGAGCACATCACTTTCCCATTTATAAACACACAATGGGCTTCCCATAGCTTTAAGGGAAAAGTCCTTACCATAGCTTCCTGTACTCTTATCTCACTACTCCTCCATGTGCAAAAGGGAGTGACTTTTAGTACTATTCCAGTACTATTCCAGTTAAGTAAGAACTTCCTACAAATACTCATTGCCACATGTACTCCAGTGTTTTTCATAATTATCTTCAGTCCAGACCAATTCTTTTGATCCTAATTATGAAGTCTGTTTGCTAAAATTACGTTGACGCTACTTTTTTTAACTTTGGTTGTTAACTTATTTTATTCTTTTAAAATGATGTTATATTTATTTCCTGCATAGAAAAGATAAACTATAGTGGATCCCTAAAAATTTTTATGTATTTTAAAGGCATTAAGAATAAACTTAATGTATACCTATCATTTCAGAAGGTTAGCCATTAAGAAACATTACTGAAGAATAATTGATAATGGTTAATAATTATAATTAAAAGTTATAATCAAAATAAATGATAATTGTATCTGGCCACAGACAGCCTAGATTCTACCTCTTACTGTCTTTATGAACTTGATTAAGTTACTTAACTTCTCCATGTCTCAGTTTCCTTATCTTAAAATGAGATCGTAGCCCTTTCATAAAAGGGTTTTATGAGGATTAAATGTGTACATATACATAAAACTCCTACAACAGTTCCTGGTACACAGTAAGTGCTACACGTTGGTAACTGCCGTTAGTTATTGTTATTTGACAATGGCATTTATAAGTACAAAGATTCTATAGCCAGACTACTTCATTTCTAATCTCGATGTTGTACTTTGTATTTGTGTGACCTTGGGAAAGCTTTTTAATTTCTATGAACCTCAGTTTCCTCAACTATATGAGGTAATAACAGTATCTACTTCTTATGTTATGAGATTAATGGACTTAAAATATGTTAAAGTCTTTGAACAGTGCTTGGCACATGGTCAACATTACACAGTGCTTGCAATTTTTACTGTCATTATATTAAAAAATAGGTGACCCATATCAATCATGTTCTCTTGTATCTTGTTCAGATTTTGTTTCATTTTTAAAAAAGATTTATTTTTATTTATTTGATATCGAGAGGAGAGAGGGAACACAAGCAGGGGGAGCAGCAGGCAGAGGGAGAGGGAGAAGCAGGTTTCCCGCTGAATAGGGAGCTCAATGCGGGGCTAGATCCTAGAACCCTGGGATAATGACCTGAGCCGAAGGCAGATGTTTAACTGGCTGGGCCACTCAGGCACCCCAGATTTTGTTTCATTTTTAAATTCTCTAACTTTTAGTGGCAAAGGCTATGCTTTTTCTTAATTTTTCTTAAACTTTCATAGTGCAGCTACCTGGTGCCCATCATTTTATTTACCCTCTCTTCTTTAAAAAGAAAATAAAATAAAACCAAAACCCCCACCTTTAATTTACAATCATTCTTGCTAACCAGGGAAAACAACTTACTTTACACTATGTGGACATATAGCATCTTTGTTCTTAGGATCACAGTTGAATAAGATGTCTCTTTTTTTTTTTTTTTCGTCTTATAACAGTGCTGTCCATATGTATTACAACTTGAATTGTTCAAGGCCCCAAGGAAAACTGTTATTACTGCATTGTCAACAAAATGAAATTAGAGCTAAAAGGCTCATCTCCTTATACCAGTTTTTCTCTTTTCATCTCACCCTCTTCTTTCCTCACCACTGTATCAACCAGAACATAATAGGATATAATTTGATAAAAGAAATGAAGGGAAAGAGACTGTTTCAACAATAAATTATCTTGCATTGGTTCTCAAAAATCCTGAGTGCTCGGTGTAGGGTAATAAGAAATACAGATAATATTATGAGAGAAATATGACATAAATAACTAATATTATGCATTTTCTACCAAGAACATAACGATTTACATTATAATCCAAAATCACTCAAGTTAAATTATTTTGTACTTTATATATCTTTCAGGAATTGAAAGTACTTCATACCTTTGTTTATATCAATGAGTTGTTTCTTTTTCTTCTGGCGTTCTAACTTTTCTTGTTCAGCTTTCTCTTTTGCAAGCTTTGCCCTCCTTGTCTTCTCTTCCATTTCTTTTCTCTTGTTGTTTTCTTTCACTGCTTCCTGTATATATAAGCAAATTTAAACACAAGTCCTTCCATTACTTACATGTTATAGAAGCTGCACGATGTTAAAATTGTATATACATATGCTTGCATGTGGGCGCTCAGAGATGTAAAATATCATTAACAGCTTCAAGGTCCATGTACATACTTTTGAGAAAAACAAATAATTCTAAGACAGACCTTCTTGAAAAATAATTGGAAATAACTCGGGCTTTATTTTTTATGTTTTTATTTAAATTCCAGTTAGTTAACATACAGTGTAATACTAATTTCAGCCATGCAATATAATGATTCAAAACTTGCTTACAACACCCCATGCTCACCTCAGCAAGTGCACAGCTTAATCTCCATCAGTGCTTTAACTTATCCCCTCCTCACCTTTCCTCCTGCAACCCTCAGATTGTTCTCTATAGTTAAGAGTATTTCCTGGTTTGCCTCACTCTCTTTTACCCCCCTTCCTTCATTTGTTTCACTTCTTAAATTCCACCTATGAGTGAAATCATATGGTATTTGTCTTTCTCTGGCTTATTTTGCTTAACATAATATTCTCTAGTTCCATCCATTTCATTGCAAATGGCAATATTTCATTTTTTTGATGGCTAATATTCTATTGTGTGTGTGTGTGTATATATACATACATATATGTATATATATAACACCTCTTCTTTATACATTCATCAATCAATGGACGCTTGGGTTGTTTCCATAATTTGGCTATTGTAAATAATGCTGCCATGAACATAGGGGTGCATGTATACTTTTGAATTAGTATCTTTTTATTCTTTGGGTAAATACCTAGTAGTGCAATTGTTGCATCATAGGATCATTAGTTCTACTTTCAACTTTCTGAGGAACTTCCATATTTGCATTTCCACCATCAGTGCAAGAGGGTTTCACTTTCTCCACATACTCACCAATACCTGTTGTTTCCTGCACTGCTGATTTTAGCCATTCTGACAGGTGTGAGGTGATATCTCATTATAGTTTTGATTTGTATTTCCCTGATGATGAGTGATGGTGGGCATCTTTTCATGTGTATGTTGGCCATCTGGGTATCTTGAAAAAAAGGCTATTCATGTCTTCTGCCCTTTTTTATTTGGATTATTCAGTTTTGGAGTATTGAGTTTTATAAGTTTTTATATTTTGGATACTAACCCTTTATGAGATAAATCATTTGCAAATATCTTCTCCCATTCCATAGGTTGCCTTTTAGTTTTGTTGATTGCTTCCTTCACTGTGCAGAAGCTTTTTAATTTGATGAAGTCCAAATAGTTTATTTTGCTTTTGTTTCCCTTGCTTCAGGAGACATATCTAGAAAGAAGTTGCTACAGCTGATGTCAATGAAGTTACTGCCTGTGTTCTCCTCTAGGGTTTTGATGGTTTCCTATCTCACATTTAGGTCTTTCATCCATTTTGAATTTGTTTTTGTGTATGGTGTAAGAAAGTGGTCCAGTTTCTTTCTTTTGCATGTAGCTGGCCAGTTTTCCCAACACCATTTTTTGAAGAGACTGTCTTTTTCCCACTGGATATTCTTTCCTGCTTTGTCACAGATTAATTGACCAAATAATTGTGGGTTCATTTCTGGGTTTTCTATTATGTTCTATTGATCTGTGTGTCCGTTTTTGTGCCATTATGTACCATAATATTTTGAAGACTACTGCTTTGTAATACAACTTGAAGTCCAGAATTATAATGGCTCTAGGCTTGCTTTTCTTCTACAAGGTTGCTTTGGCTATTCAGGGTCTTTTGTGGTTCTGTACAAATTTTAGGATTCTTTGTTCTAGCTCTGTAAAAAATGCTGGTGGCATTTTGACAGGGATTACATTAAATTTGTAGATTGCAGCTGAGAGACTAGATGGCAGAGAAGTAAGAGGCGCTTTTTCAACCTGTCCCCTAAAGTGAGCTGATTACCTACCAAAGAACTCTGATCATCAATGAAATCAGGCTGAGATTGGAATTATACACTTCTGGATCTCTACGAGGGCAGAAGACGCCAGTGGACAGGTAAAGTGGAGGGGGAACATTGGACTGATATCAGAGGATAAACAAAAGGGGGAGGAGCCACCAGAAGCAACCCATTGGAAATTTATACCCCAATACGAGAGTGCCCTGTGATTGGGGACCAGCATTAACTTGGAGTCTGGTTGAAAGCACTCAAAAAGAGCAAAAGATCTTAAGGGGAAATTGGTGGAATTGGGCGATTAGGGACAGGGACTTAAGCCCACAGACCCAGGACGGCCAGGGAAACAGAGAGCGCAGCAAAGAAGCCAGGTCTTGGTCCCTGAGTCACCGGCGAGACTGATAGCGTCTGGAGGGTGGCACCCATGAGGGAGTCTGGGGTGGACGCCAGCTGGCAGAACCACAGCCTTTTGCACTCTGCACACCCTCTCCGTGACCGGGGTCTGAGTCATCTCCCACACCCTTCCCTGAGAGAGGTCCATACAGGTGCTGGCAGGCACTCTCTAGGACTCAGAGAGTCTGAACACTCCCAGCCCAGGCCAGCATGACAATCTCAGTGCGCTATCTCTGGTTGGGACCTCTCTGGTGGTCTGGACCTGCCCAGAAAGCTGCAGCTAGTATTTCTCTTGGTTTTGGCTACAAGCAAGAGTTCCTGTGACCCCAGAGACCATGACTGGGGATGTGCTCTGCCAGTGGCAGAGGGGGAAATTATGTGCTCTGGAGCACCCAGAGGGGAACAGACTGAGGCTTCTCTCTGAGATTGAGGTCTGGGTGCAGTTTGCTTTCCTGTAAACCTCCAAAGAACTGCCAAAAGACGCCAAGGGGAGAAAAAAACAAACTAACAAACAAGAAAACCTCTAAAGAACAAAAGCCTGAAAAACACGTTTCCTCAGAGCCTAGCCCCTTGATGGGGGTAGGAGGACTCAACTATAGCAAGACTCCCTGAAAAACCAAGCAGCAGGCCCCTACCCAAGAAAGCCAGCCAAAAACAACAACAAAAAAAAAAAACAAAAAAAAACAAAAACAAAAACAAACAAGAGGACAACCAACACTACTTCATAGATACAACTTTTATTTTTAATTCATTCCCACTATTCTGCTTCTTTTCATTTTTTTATATAACTTTTTAACCTATTTACCATCACAATGAGATGTTCAGTACATCAACTTCCATAATAAACTTTTAACCTGAACTTTTTTGATACATATACCTGTGTTTTTGTTTTTCTATTTTTTAACTGTTTAATTTTAATTTTATTTTTTAAATATTCATATAGAGATAAGCTTCAAGGTAATTCCCTTTCCCCAATCAATGTTACCCCTATATATAAACCAGTTTTAATCCCCCTTTATCTCAGGAAAGCTGAGTCCTTTAACAAAGATATCAAGATACATCCAGGAAGAATCAAAATAACCTTCCTTGCCCACAATGAGAATTTATAACCACACTCCCATCTTCTTCTTCTGTCAGTGTTTCTGCGTATTTGTTTTTGTTCTGATAGTATATAAATCTTATACTTGGGGTTGATTTTGATGGGGTTATTTATTTATTTATTTATTTTCTCTTGTCATCTACTTTTGTCGGTCTTTTTGTTTGTCTCTTTCTGTTTGTATACTTTATAAATCTTACCTTTGGGGCCCATTCGGGCTGGGCCTTCTTGTTTATTTTATCTTTTTTTTTTTCCTGTCTCTCTCTCTCTTTTTTTCTTTTTTCTTTCTTTCTGGTGGGGACTCTTGATTTCTCAGAAACGTTCCAGAGGGCACCTTGCCTGCACCACGGTTGATCCATTCAGCTATCTCTCACCAAAATGACTAGGAGGAGAAATGCCCAACAGAAGAAAAATTCAGAGACTAGCCCCTCTCCATCAGAGCTTTTGGATATAGATATAAACAATATGTCAGGAAGGGAAATCAGGCTAACAATTATCCAGGCAGTAGCTAGGTTGGAGAAAGGCTTTGATGACAAAATGGCATTGATTAGGGCAGAAGTGAAAGCCACCAGGGATGATGTTAACAATGCTCTCAATGAGTTCCAATCTAGTCTAAATTCTCTAAAAGCTAGGGAAACTGAGGCAGAAGGTAGAATTAGTGATCTGGAGGACAAACTGATAGAGAAAAAGGATCAGGAGGAAGCCTGGAACAAACAGCTTAGAAGCCATGAAAACAGAATTAAGGAAATAAATGATGCCATGAAATGTTCCAACATCAGAATTATTGGAATCCCTGAGAGGGAGGAGAAAGAAAGAAGACTGGAAGATATAGTTGAACAAATTGTCTATGAAAAATTTCCCAATCTGGCAAATGGAACCAGCGTTCGTGTACTAGAGGCAGAAAGGACTCCACCCAAGATCATAGAATCTAGAAAGACCTTGAGACACCTGATTGTGAAAATGATGAATCATAATTTTAGACAGGAGCTCTTGGAAGCAGCTAGAGGCAAGAGATTCCTTACGTACAGAGAAAACCTCATCAAAATAACGTCAGACCTGTCCATAGAAACCTGGCAAGCCAGAAAGGGCTGGCAAGATGTATTCAGGGCACTAAATGAGAAGAACATGCAGCCAAGAATACTTTATCCAGCAAGACTGACATTCAAAATGGATGGAGAGATAAAGAGCTTCCAAGACTGGCAAGGTTTAAAAGAGTATGTGACTACCAAGCCAGGACTGCAAGAAATATTAAAGGGGGGGTTCTATAAAAGAGGGAAAAAACCCAAGAATATAATTGAACAGAAATATATGGAGACAATCTACAGAAACAAAGACTTCACAGGTAACACGATGTCAATAAAAACGGCTCTCTCAGTAATCACTCTCAACGTATATGGCCTAAATGCACCCATTAAACGGCACAGGGTTCCAGACTGGATCAAACGACAGGACCCATCCATATGCTGTCTACAAGAGACCCATCTGGAACCCAAGGATACATTCAGATTGAAAGTGAAGGGACAGAGAAGCATCTTTCATGCCAATGGGCCTCAAAAGAGGGCAGAGGTAGCAATTCTCATATCAGATAAATTAGATTTTAAACTATGGA